TCAGTAGAGATGCTATTTATTAGTGAATATAAAAATCTATGGTTCGTCCTTAACCCTGTGCTAAGAACATATTTTGTATACCACTATGACACTCTACTATATAGATTATAGACTATAGATATGATCTATCTTTTTAGTAATTTAAAAAAATATATTTACAGACATAAGAGCAATGTTATTAAATAAGTAAATTTCAGAACGAAAGAAAGAATTTATACATAAATAAAGATTAAACACTTGAGTGGAGAAATCATTCACTAATAGAACTTCAATATTTTTAATTTATTTACTTTTATAATTTATTTTAGATTATTATTTTAGTTATACCTATAATGCGACTCTTGACTATTTCATTTCAAGTTTGCAATGTGTTTTATTATTTGGGATAGTGATTACACTGATAGCCACTGATTGATGGTGGATGACATACGTGATATTAATGGATTATCACATGTGACTGGAGCTTCACATGAAATCGTTTGTAGTTGAGGTAGTGGACACAAGTTTGACCCCATATTTGGATGCCGTAAGAGAATAGAGAGATCATTATGTGTTTAATATGGTGATGTACAGTGTGACGACATTTCGAGTACCTAATCAAATTTTGAAGAGCCTCCATATCACCTTCGGTCTGACGAAATCCTACACCCAATTTTTGAGGATTTTGAATCAGCAGATCGTAAAGGCAGGATGCAATTCAGGTAATTATAGTTAAGTTGTATAATACAAATAAACATATAGGTATGTATTATTCATAGCCTCAAAAGTTTATCGTGAGAATAGTGGTACGAACAGTCATACGTGTTTCTTAGTATTTTTTAGCTACTTTTAGGAATGATAAATTTTCAATTTTTTTCATTTTTTTTTTAAATAATAAATATTGTTGTTAAATAATTGATAAAAGGTTCATAATAATGGTTTTATAAGATATGGAAGCTTTTTTTTTCGTATTATCGAGGACCGGGGAGACAACGAGTTGTTGACCTCAGTTGTGATACCAAATGAAAAAATTGAGCATTTTTTTATGGATCTACCAGATATTTAAAACATACTAATATCTTGCAGTAAACTTGGGTTTTTTAAAAATATTTTTTATATTTGATCTTGTAATAAATTTGTTTGTATAACTACACTATAACTACTAGCTATTAAATCACTAATAATCAGTAATTTCCAAACACATATTTTATGATATTATACAAAATCTTGACTATTAAGTAAGTTCATGCCAAATTTAAATTATCATATACTTATGGTATGTAAAACTATCTCGCACGAATGCAAATATTAATATTAATATTAATATTAATATTAATACAAATATTCACGTCCACAAATTTTCGTCGTCTATAAGTCCGAGTCTAAGACGTGATATACTAATGTATCGAATTATATTATACATCTGATTAGATCTGGTCACCACCGCAGTAATATGTCACGAACGAATAACGACGATAAGACAAAGAATAAATAAAACCAGTAATGCTAAACTCGCTATTTTTATTATAACCGTTGTATACAGAGCGAAAGCGAATATATTATTAATCGACACGCGTTTATCGCGTACCGAAATCGAATATTACAATTTATTTACCGTGTGCTAAGCTATAAAAAAATTCGACAACACTGAAAATATGATGAAATCGGTTCTGACGCGCCGAACGTCTCGCGCCTAAAAGTCCTTATGGCTATGAGTCATGAACGTACACCGTACGTGTTCTTGAGTACCTACCTAGGTATAATATTTATTTTTTTTTATAGCTTTAAGTACTAAACTGTATTAAATTGATTAAAAAATGCTTCGGCTGTATTAGTGTATGTACTACCTATTATATTCAATAGGATTTCAGAACTAATTGGATGACGACAATACTACAATAGCCAGCAATAACCTATGAGGTAATTTCTAAGGGTACCTTATTTATTTCAATATATGACGTTAGCCTATCGATTGCGCATATTGTGCCAAAATAAGTGGAAATATTCGTGACATACTGACATACGTCTATATTATAATGTAGATGTATATTGATGTATTGTAAATCATATGATATAATATGTACCTATACGTTTATAAAATTGCAGAAAGGGTAATTTTTTTTCTACCCAAAGTCTTAAAAACTAAAAACCCGAGGTTGTGAAAATATTAAATACAATCAACAAACTATAAATTATGAGCTGCACCGATTCGAGTTCGATTGTCGTCATGTGACCTACCTATTGCGGTTGTTCAACGGTACCTATCGACTGTATAATGACATTTTGTTATAGTATAGGTAATTATTATTTACCTTAGCATAATGAGTCAGAAATTTTCTAATAATTATCTGGCATATTAATTATTATAGTATTCAGTGTGTACTATGCTCGTATAATTTTAAAAGTACTCATACACTACCTACATTGTAATATAAATACATATTGTACATAATATAATTATATTATATAGGTATGTTAACAGTGGCACCGAACTATTTTTTCCAAGCTCCGTGGAAAACATAAAATATATTTTCTACATTGGTATATAATACTAGGTACCACTCATCATAAAAGTACATATTATTATGTTCATTGGTCGGTATAACTACTATCGGTACAATGATTAGGTATATTACTATAATATTTGTTTTTTAAGACACACACATCATAGTTCTGGAGAATTTTCCCCACTTGATATCCATAATTGGCATCACAAAAAATCGTCTATTGGTCTCATTAGTTATTCATTAAGGTAGTTACGTACGCTGTTAATGCTAATGAGGTCAATATGTATAGTATTTTTAAGGGTTATTTCCACATATTTTAGTCCATTTTCCCGATTTAGTCACATATATTTTGTCGATTAATACTAATGTCTATTTTCTCGCTGCTCATTGCCACACAAAATATTTAAATTGCTGAATTTTTTTTTTACATAATTTTAAATCATAACAAACATTTTTGAAAAATATTTTCTATTTTAAGTGTTATAAATGTTTTATCAAATTCTCGTTTTCACAAATTTATTTTTTTTTAAGTTGTCATATCTATTTTTGTGTACTTCCTACGAAGACGGCAGTAAACGTCATTGAATTGTATTATAGAACGTCTTTGATTATTGTATGCTACTATAAGTTCGAGGCGGCGATATAATATGTCGATGTATATTGACCTATAACATCCATTATCTGGGTTACAAAAATAACCCTATAATATACATTTTTCACTTCATTAAACCATGATTACAAGATTATGGTCACATTATTTTTTTTAAACAAGTTATAGCAACTTTTTTATGAAATTTCTGTGAAAATTTAACGACATGGGTGGGTACCTAAGTACCCATGATCTGTTTCTAAGCCATACAATTTGTTGTAAGACTTGTGTAAAAACGATCAATTAGGTTATGGTTGCGATTTTGGTGAATAAATTATTTTGCCCCCCCCTAGTTTTTTTATCCAGTTTTGGCATAGCGTGTCAAAGCCAATGTGCCCCAAGTACACCGTCGAAAAATATCAATGCAGTAGGGTTTTTTTTCGTGACTCGGGGTGAGTGTGGGGTACATAAGACGATATATTTTCGGCTCGTGTACCAGCTCATCGTGGGTTAGGTTAACCTACCTATGCCATATTTATAAACGAGTTTTTTTTCGCAGCGACGACGACGATGATGAACAACTACCGAGTGGGGAAACAAATAAAATAAAAAACGGTTTTTCTAACGACTATTATAATAACGACGGTGATGGTTGATAAACATTATAATAATAATAATATAATGACCGGTGCACAACGCCGTACCTACTACGTAAAATACGACAAACGCGGCGGCGTTGGTGGCGTGTGCCGTCGAAGAAGAAGAAGTCGCCGCCGTCTTCGGCGCGTACGAGAAACCCACAAGCCGGCCGGGGGACCACCGGCAGCGCTGAGAATTGAACCTTGTCTGCATAGGTGTCGGACACGTGGTGCGCGCCGGTTACGCATGCGCGGCACACCGGCCACACTACGGCGGCGGCGACGGCAGCGACCGGCCGGCACACTGGTGTGCTGCGGTGCGCGCGTGTGTTTTATACAGTGTCCGCCGACCGTCGGACGTCTTACACGCGTTCGCATACGATATCTGCCGGGTGTGTTCCCCCCCCGACGACGCGGGCGACGTACACAATTAATAACAATATTTTATATTAATTTTGTTGCTCCGTTATTTTTTCCACGGACGGACCGCGAATAGTTTTTGTTTCACCGATCGTCATTTTTTTTTTAAATATTTAAAAAATATATTATATTATATTTAAATATATTTCATATTTTGTTTACCGGCGAAAGTTGTATAATATAGTAGTATTACCGCCAATACTACTGCTACTACACACTACTACATTACTACTACGATTACTACTACGACTACTACTACAACTACCGCCACTACTAATACTACTTCTAGTAATAATTTACTAATATTAATATTATAATAACCGCGGCAAAAGTGTACCGAGGTAGTCTATCGAACGCGGCGAGAGGGTAATAATATTATAGTCGTACGGCTATATTATATTGTAATATTGTCGTTGTATTAGACGACCGCGACACCGGTGACTGGGAAATAAAAATCGTCGTAGGTGGCGGCAACGGCGGCAGCGGTGGCGACGACGACGACGGCGGCGGCAGCGGCGTCGGTGGCGATGTCGCGATCACTGTCCGCGACAGACGACCCGTTTACCACCCAGCAGCACATTAGCTGGACGATTAGCTGGTACACCGTATGGTAGTGTACACGACACAACAACAACAACAACAACGATAATAATAAAAAAACATTCAGCAAATACACTGCACAAACGTCGAGCGTGCACCACCAGACGACGACGACGACCATTCATTACGGTAAAGACAACCGCATCCGCAACCAGCAACTGCAACTGAATCCGCGACTGCAGCGACGATCGTCTGCAGCCTGGCCGCATATAGTTATTATGCCGGTGCAATTACCGCCGTGGACGCTATCGGCCGCCCGATGAGTTGTTATTGGCCGCCAGTCGCGTGTGTAACGACGTCGCCGCCGACCTGAGCGTTTGTGGGAAGTATGTGGAAGACACGTAACCGATACAATTGGTCGTGGTCTATACGTATTGTCGTTGTTGTAGCCGCCGCAGCCGTAACGCTCGCGATGTCCGCCGCCGAACCACGCGAATCCGCCGTCTCCTCGTCCTCTTCCCTGCGTTCTACTTCCTCTTTGTCGTCACCACCGTCGTCGTCGTTATCCTCCTCCTCCTCCTCCTCGTCCTTATCTTCGGCCGCCGCTACCAGTGCGGTAACCATCGTCACGTCACAACTGGAAAGAGCACCGTTCGGCCGCGACGGCACCGAACAACAGACCAACACTCCAGGTAAGTCTGTTACTTATCCTGTTACCTAACGTACAAGTCCTATAATTATTGTAATACACTCGAGTCGTGACAACTCGAAAAACTTATCAACTAGTTTTTGGTTTTATTCCTCTTGAGGTTAGGTTAGCTTAAATTCGAGATATAGGTGTATATCGAATAATACATAATAATATTATGTTGAAAAGATTTTTTGTGCCCCTTCAACTCCGAGTTATTGTATTTCGACTGTATTTTGTCTTATAGTCTTGTTGAGTAGGAAAAAAAATTGGTTCTCTGCCCGAAAATCGTCTGATGCTGATGCTCTGCTAGCACGTCCTGGAACCCTCTACCTAGTACCTATAGTTAAGACTTTTTTGCACTACAGACGATTCTTTATATGACTTATGAGTTTATATACTTATACATGACTGATAACGAGCATAGGCGTAGGATGGGGGGGTCTAAGGGTGCTATAGCCCCCTGAAATTTTGTTCAGCCCCCCCTAAAATTTGTTTTAATGACATTTTTAGAATATGTTGTGTACCAGAAACATAATAGGCTGTAGCCCCTCCATATAAATTCATTACGGTACACCTATGATAACGAGGCTTATCCTTCGATGGCGTTCAATGATTGCGATTTATGATCCTATTCAAATGCAACACCTGTTGACTGCACTCGTTTGTCATGTCTTCTTTCTTATACAAAAAAAATGAAGATACACACTTGACACATGCAGTCGTACATGTTATACGCAACTTTTTTTTCAAATTCCAATTTGAATAAAAACGGTATTTTTATTGAACCGTCAATACATTTTTAGTATGTACATAATATCTAACATAATAATAATAAAATAACTGCATAAGTACCTACCTAGTATTCTAATGGATTTCCGTTAAAAACCATGTACTTGATAGTTCGACATATTATTATTATATTGACAGTCATTTACGTGGTTATTTAAGTTGGATTATTTTTTGTTTCACCTTCCCTATTAGGTACTTTCCCTTTTAAGTGGCTTTAATATGAATTTATTTTACATTTATAATAATGTAATACGCTCAGAAATGATTTATGATTAAAAACTCGTTTTATTTACGTTCTCTTTCTATTGGCTCTTCGATTTGTTCATAAGCTGATGTGGACAAAATTTTAAATACTATATATACTCCCAACTCATAGAGTCGTAATTATACAAAAATATAATTTTGTATGATTGTATGTGGTCGCACTTTATACGTGGGTTGTACTATCATAGTATTATACTACGGTATAATTTTAGTAGAATATCGTTAATTCGTTTATGAACTGCAACTTCTCGTGTTATTTAACATCGCGCCCAAACGCAAGCTACATAGAACCATTTGAATCATTTAATATACCTATATAAAAATATATAATTAAATATTAGGTATACTCATGATGGATTTTATATTTTGACGTCCGCGGGAATCAATTGGGTGCATGTAAAATATACACTATGGGAATGAATAATTCGTAGAGTGAGTGGAAATTTGACTTCTGATAAAATATATGTATATAGGTAATGAAATTGGAGAATAATCATACATTGAGTTGTAAATCATTGCCATATTATAATAAAACAAAAAAATGATAGCGCTATGTATAATAAATAATATTTTTTGATTAAAAACAGGTTTGAATGTTCAATAAAATATAGATCTCGTCTACTACCTTTACCCGAGTTAGAATACCAAAAATATTTTGGTATTTCGATTTATTAACTATATAGGTTCTATATATCGTAATCGTTTTAAATCCATCGGAATTACGAGTGGTCTGTTCCAGAAACAATTCTCTAACTATATCATCAGCGTGACGTGTATATACGTGTATTTTACACATGCAATCGTTACCTTCTGCTACTATGTTATATATACTATACACTTACATTTGAAGTTGGGTAGGGAGGTAATCCAATGATGGTAGTGAAAACATTTTACTTATATATTGCGTAAATTAGGACTTTTGATCAAATAATATATTATTATGCTACCCACTGTCTATACGGCGTCAATCAACTGCTCTTAGATATCAATTCAATGTATATGAAATAACATTAAAAATAATGTTCAATCAATTTTTTTGCCACATTTCTAAATAAACATAAGTACCTATATAGTAATAGTATATTCTCACATAATATATTATCAATATCATACATTTCCCATAGTGCGTGTTTTTATAATAATAATATCCTGCTATATAGATGAATTGATCGCCATTAGATCATCTTAAATCGCCCGTCTACAGTATGAAAACAACCTAAATACCGCGTTATAATTATTATACATTTGTCATTTGGTGCCAAATATTTTAAATTGTTTGAGTTTGAGTAAATAACGTAGTATCTAGTATAAGATAACTGAAATTCGGCAGATATAATGCACTTATAATATGCATAAATTCTATCCCTTATATAAAGATGTATATTAGTTAATGAACAATATAAAAAAAATCGTATGTTATATTTATTCTTTACTATAATGTAGTATCAGGAAAAAATAAAACTTTTCAAAATGTACACTTTTTGCATTGCACGCTTCTCCAAACGATCTAGCCACTCGTCTATCGCTACACGCTAACGGTATTGAGGCAGCTGATCTTAGTTATTCAATATTTCGATAAGATTAGAACAGACCGTATTTTCTAAACTGGTCTGCAGTCGGTAGTCCAAAGAGTTGAGATCTGGACTTCTCGAGAGCCAATCTTGAGCAGCGATAAAATCCAAGTAAATTTACTTTAAACTATTGTTTTTGCTTCATGAGCCAATCGTCGAATCTAGCTGAAAGGTCCAGTGTATTCCTGCAAACAAGGTTCACTTAAAGGCTTCACTACTATTTCTAAAATATCAATTCGGTAATTGATCGCTCGTGTTTTCAGTCCCTGCAGCTCGCAGTAAATGTAGTCGAGTATCGCCCTCATATGACCCTCTCCTCCGAACCATCACTGAGGCCGGATGATGTCCAATTTCTACTCTTTGCATTTTTAGCAGCATATCGAGAGCTATGAGCATACTCTTCATAATTTTGACGGTACACATTTTTTCCACTGTATACAGAGTACCTATTTGTCTGTAAACATTTTTCACGTACCTACCGCCGCTGAAGTGGCTTCTTTGCTCTTGTTGCTCTAATTTTACGCAAAGCTCCTGCCGGTGCTTCTCCAATAAGCACAAAGACCAAGGTTTATTTTAATTATGAGTGATATGGTTGTTGGCGGGGTTTTCATTTCTCGAGCCATGATTAATAAATATAAGGGCCAAACTCATAGCACCACTAGATATAGGGGTAGGTGAGGTACCATATTATTTTATGTCGGACCAGTACCAAAATTACGAGACTTAAACGAATACGATTTTTGTATGAACCCATTTTTTTTACCATGCATAATGTATATAGAAACACCGATCTATATTGGCTTTTTCTCGATTATCGAATGGCGTTTTTCGGTATTTTGCTTTATTTTATTTTTCCGGTTATGACCATTTATATCACATCCACGCTCCTATAAATCCCGGGCGTAATACAATGCGTGTACCAACCTATTATATTATAGTATGTTATATTCAAAGAGTGATCGATATTAAAATATTATATGTATTCATCCGAGACGAAAATCGCGTATTTTAAAATATTATCATGCGCTGTGTATACATTATTATTATTAATTATATGGGGAAGGGAAAAAAAATCATCGAAAAGCGTTTTAGCCGTGACGGCTGTCAACGTGTTTTCGTCGGACAGCCCGTGGCGGCGGCGGCATGCGCTTGTACAGCCATAATATTATTATAATACCATACGGCGGAATGATTGTTAATTTCTTTCGTTTCGGCCCCATACGGACGACATAAAGACGCGAATGAATGCGCCTCGGCCGCCGGGAGAGGCGGGCATAACCCTCTCGGGCTCCATCGGTGCACCATTATAATAATAATAATGATAATAATAATAATATTATAACTCTACAACAGCGCGTTGTCCGTGCGTACATTGGCCGCGCTGCAGGTTTAAATGTCACTTGTGAAAGGTGACCGTCCTAAAAGGACTTGAACGGGTAAACTGGTATGCGCCACACAATTAGCATGCATTCTCCGGCGCGACGTGGAACGTAAAAAATATGTAGCTACAAAATATGCGTGTCTGTTTATTTAATAATAAATTATATAGGCATAATAATACAGTATAGGTACTCTGACACGCGCGCGCCTGTGTGACTGGAGTGACGCGTCGCGGGTCGGATCGAGACGAAACACACTTCGGATGTCGATGGGATGTGGCTGTATTTATTATACCGTGTTCGATGTATATGGTACCTACCACCTATCTTATATAATAATAATATTATTATTATTATCGTGGTACGTGCCCGTAATATCATATTATTATATGGCTCGGTACGCACGCGGGTGGCCATTGCAGTTTAGCGGCCGTGTACGCGCGGCTGCCTGCTCGACTGCAATATTTTACAAAGGTTTCGATGTAATTTTTCAAAAAAAAAAACAAATTCAGTATTATGCTAGGATCAATAATCGGGTATATTGTATAGACGTCTGTTAGACGCGTACAGTGTATTAGGTTTCTAAACGAACGATTATAGAACACCTTATAATATTCCCATCCGCGGGTCCGTCCGTGTTAGTTAACAGTAGGTACGGATATTTACGACTATCGGTGTTAATTGTTCCATTTTAATATTAGTACCTATCCATAATTCAAATCAAAAATTAGAAATACATTTCAGTGCTATAGTTGAATGAATAAATAATTTCATAACGGACCTCGTGCGGCCAGTATATTAAAAAGTATCAAAATATATGAGTAATTACTATATAATTAATATAAATTCATACCAGCCACTGTTAGAAAATAGGTACCAAAATATTAAGGGTACCTACCGAATTCTTTTTAAATTGTATATTAAGTTTAAAATTATAGTTTATTGCTTTATATTAAAATACGTTTATAAACCGGGAATTTAACAACGCACGCAGAGTG